TTGTCCTTGGGAGATATGCAGTAAACCCTCACTATTCTCTAGATTCCTTCTAATGAACACTGTTACTTCCACTCCACCCCCATCCCCACCCCCAGTTTCTAATTTCCACTCTGCTATAGAAGAGAATGCTTTGGGGCTACATTTTGCTCTCATGTCTCATACTGCCCATCTGTCCCCACATGCAACTGTCAAGAACTGCTGTAGGGTGGAGTATGCTTTTGCTGTGATTTATTAAGAACACAGCAAAAGCAACAAGGTGGTATTTGGCATAAGATTCAACAGCCAGAGAATCAGGGGTGGCCCCATTTTGGTGCCCCAGGCAGAGCAGGAAATGATGTTCTCTCTTTGCAAATCAAAATGCATAGCACCTACTTGTAAGGCCAACCAAACTATTTTGGCACATGAGGCCAATTATTCCACAGGTGGCTCTATCCTTCAGTCACAAGAAAAATACAATTATAACACATGAAATAACTAACAACTGGCTGCCTTTCCACAACATCTGAAATCAGTTGCCAGAGTCATTCTCACTACTCTGCCTAATGGGAGGGCTGACCTACTGAGAATTTCTGCTTTTATTTTTTTTAAGTATATTATTTTTGAAGTATACAAGTAAGTTACTTTAAAAAGATATATTACTTTTTATTGCTTTGTATATGTGGGAAAGATCTGACATTTCAGAAGCCTGAGGATTGCTATTTAAGAATCAAATTATGTACTATGTTAAATTTATGATCACATTTAATGCCTGGGCTTTGTTGAAATTCAGTAGCAGTGGTGGGATGGAAGATCAGGATTGGAACCAACGTAAATGAGGAGGGAAGCCTTGACGAACACTTCTTGCCACACACACACACACACACACACACACACACACACACACACACTGTTGAAACTGCAGCTCCTATCTATCAGTTTCTCTTCAACCGCAAACAGCAACTGGGGGAAGGGATTGTTCATAAGTAATGCAATGCAAGGGGGAAGGATGAACTCCCTGGCCATGGTCCTACTTCTGAACTCTACAGCATGGCTGCTTCCAATCCAATCCAATCCAAATCACATAATTGATATTTTTGGGACACAGAATTTAGGTTGTGTGGGTGCAGAATTTAAACTCTTAGCATACACTACACATCCCTGACTTAAAGGCAACTTCCTTATTCTCAATTCAGTGGAGACAGAATAAAAAGCCTACCCCAGTCGTGTGACTGAGCCACTAATGGAATCAATTCCCCTCTTGCAGACACTGGAAAAATCTAGAATAGTCTAGAAATCCAGAATAAGCAAAAAGTATTTTGTTTTTCATAGCACAAAGATCATTTACTAGGATGGATATACAAGCTATTATCACAATATGATACAGAAACAGAATGAGTTCAAATATGTAAGTTGGATGCAGAATTTTAGAGAAGAAATATCCTTCCATCAATGGAGAGCTTTATGGACGAAGAATACAAAATTTATAGCTAGCAAAGCATTAAGAGAGAATTGGTGAAAAATGTTCTTTCCTTTCTATATTAACCCCAAAGATATTCAAAACATGAATAAGGATTATAATGGAAAGTGCCAGAAATGCAAAGAAGTGGAAGGAACTTTTTATAATATGCAGTGTACATGCAATATGGTTAAAAGTCTTTGGAAAGAAATATACTGGTTGACTGCAGGTTAAATGTGAGTCAGCAGTTTAATGCGGTGGTCAAGAGGGTGAACGCCACCCTTGGTTGCATAGCCAGAAGCGTGGCTTCTAGATTGAGAGAGGTATTACTACCACTGTAGACGACTCTGGTGTGCCCACAACTGAAGTATTGTGTTCAGTTCTGGGCTCCTCATTACAGGAAGAATATAGCCAGGTCAGAGTCAGAGGACAACAAAAATGATCCAGGATTTGGAAACACTGCCCTATGAGGATTGACTGAGAGAACTGGGCATGTTCAGCCTTGAGAAGAGAAGACTGAGGGGGGACATGATATGCCTCTATAAGTACCTCAAAGGCTCTCACAAATAGGAAGGTCAAGATCTCTTCTTGCTGATGCCAGAGTGTAGGACATGGAATAATCAAGTCAAGTTGCGACAACCCAGATTCAGGTTGGACATCAGGAAAAATTTCCTCACTGTCAGGGCAATATGACAGTGGAACCGGCTTCCTAGAGAGGTGGTGGGCTCTCTCACACTAGAGACATTCAGAAAGCAGCTGAACAGCCATCTGAGTGGAACAGTGTAACTTGGTGTCCTGCAACAGCAGGGGGTTGGAACTGGTGCCCTTTCCAACTCTACTAATCTATGATTCTATGATTTTAAGCTTCTAACAATGTTTTGCCAGAGGCTTGATGGTTCAGTCCATAAAGTGTGAGCAACCACAGAAATGGTCATTGTCCTAGTAGGATGCCTATCATACCTTGTATGACTGTGGCATCTGCAGCAGGGTCCCAGATATGATGCTAAGAAGAGCATCTTTAAGATGCAACTGGACAGCCATCTGAGATTAACTGTTTAACCTGGAGTCCTGCACTGAGCAGGGGGTTGGACTGGTGGCCTTCTGGTCCCTTCCAGCTCTACTGTTCTATAACTGTATGAACACATGGAACAAGGTTTTCCTTATGCACCTACCCTCTAAGCCATTTAGGGCTTCATTGTTTAAAATGAAAACCTTAAATTTAGTGCAAAAACTCATTGATAGCCAAGGCAAAATCAACCAAAAGAGATGTTATATGTTCTCAACAATGCAGTGGCACAATACTGCACCGTATGAAAGTTTCAAATAATTTTCAATGGTAGTCCCACACGTTCATGCTATCCTAGTCTTCTCTGAAGCACACTAAGTTACTAAAAACTGTGACAAACTCAGGAAATGTACCAGCTGGATTACCTTACCACTGACACCACTTCAGCTTTTTAAAGGATTTCCATACCAAAAAGCTATGAACCTTGGCTTTTACAGCAAAGATGGGGAATATGTGGCCTTCCAGATTTTATTGGACTGCAACTCCTATCAAAGCTAATGGTAAGGGATGATGGGAAGTACAGTCCAATATCTAGAGGGTTCAGCAAAGGTGGATGTTTGTCACAGGCCAGAGAGTCAGCTGGAGGGGAGGCAGGCGACTGGTGCGGTGCCTTTTCTTCTTAGGGAGAGTATTGGTCCCTGTCAGTCATTTTTTGGCCAGGGTGGCAGCCATTTTCCTGGTCTCTTCCCAGCCCTCATGTTTTCCCTAGCCAGAGGAACCAAAGGCCCCTCAGCATCCAACTTAGAAGAATCGGTTACATGAAGGACACACTGCCACAGGGCAAATTTGAGGTTATCTGCCTGCTGCTGGCATGTTTGTTTAAAAGCCTGGCAGTGTCGGCAGGTCTCAACCACATTCCACTTGCCTAGGCAGAGAAGACATTGGGAATGGCCGTCTGCAGGCAAGTGTGCAGCACATGAGGCACAGCTGCAAAAAGTACGGTCAGAGGCCATGCCAGAAACAAAGTGTGGAAGAAAAATTTCTTACCTTCCTTGGGGAAAATGGGAGAGAGAAATTTCCAACCAAGAAAGGGTTCAGTTAGGATTTTATTCTAAGGTGTATGTGTGTGTGTGTGTGTAAATAAAATGGGGAAGAAAAAATATTTTCTTTCTTTTTTTTTTGTAGGAAGCAAAGAAGCCAAAGAAAAAACACAAGGAAAAAACATAAGAAAGTAAGAAGCAAAGTAACAAAATATATACTTGCAGGGCAATTTACAGTCTAGGTGTTGTGGTTGGATGTGTTGTTGAAAAGGAGGGACTGGGAAGAAGCCCTACCCTTCTTATCCTGGGACCCAAAGGGGGCAGGCTTCCACCCACTCTGTGACACTAACCTATAGAATTTTCTTCAAATCTAGGCCTTGCACTGGCATGGCAAAGCCCACATGTGTGATACACAGAGACCATGACAAAGTATTTTCCTTCTGATTGGCTACATGGCATTACCACAAATCCAATTAAATGTAAAGGTGGGAAGCACTGCCTGTGTTCTAGCTTCATATGGCAGTTGTTTCCAGTTGGTTAGGTACAGTTGAGATGAAACATGGAATACTCATTTTCCATTTGATAACCATAACCAAAAAGTGGCACTGATGCTTCAATTTATGACTGCTGACAATAGGCTCCAAAAAGCACTGGGGGAAACTGAGCAAAAGGAATGTCAGAAAACCCCACAAGCCTGTTTTCCCAGTAAAACTACTTCAGGGAAAGCAACTTGCAGTGATTGGGTGCTCTTCCCTCTCCTCCTTTAAAACATTTAATGACTAACAACAGTGGCAAAGCAGCAGCAGATCTGTGATCCCTGTCAGGGTTATCCTTTTCTTTCAGGTACACCTAAAGGAATGATAGTTTAGGCACCCTACAAAGAATGGAACACAGTAGAAATAGCCCTGCTGTTGTCACTATAGGCATCCTCCTGTGCCTAAAAGAGCATTTATAATGTTGTGCTGCCCTCTGCTCTCTATTTTGGAATTGCCCAAAACGCCACCTTCAAAGCTGGGCAAAGCCAAAAATGGAAGAAAGAACAGACTTACTAGCCGTTAACATTTGAAGGACAGGAGACATCTCTTAAGTTTTAGGTTTTTCTAAGGAATTATTTATATAACTCTATGTACATGAAAATGCAGTGGCTGGGAAACCTACCCATTCCCCAACATAATTTGTCACATATTTTGCAAAGACATTTCCAATTTATGTATATTTACACTGCCCTTTTGGATATAGCTCTGATGTGGCTTTGCATATAAATGGTGTGCAAAGATCTTAAATACAAATATTGTATATTATGTTAATGAATGGCTAATGTAAGTAATATTAATTACAAAAAGTCTACTCTAAGTAGGACTAACATGGGCTATCCTTTGTAGTGGTTCATTCATGGGACTTCAATTAATTCAAAATTCATGAGACTAGCCTTTGCAAGCATAAACTTGTTGTAGCATAAGAACAGTACTTCTTTTCTTCAAAGCATAATTACAGTAAGGCAACCACAACTGCTACTCACCCCTCTTTTCATCTACTATGGAAACGGCCTGAATGAAAAGTGGTGCATTGGATTCAGTATACTCCACAAAAACAAGGAGCAACTTCAGTGCTGTCTTTACAACAAGGCGAAACTGTAAGGGAAGAGAAAATTTGTCACTCATCAGGTTGGTGCATTTGCAGACATGGTTCTTTTTTACTGGAATACAGGCTACCATTGTGTGAGAGAGTAAGTCAATGAGTCCAGGCAATGTTACTGCCCCTTCCATTCTTGATCAATCCAAAATATGGCCCTTATTAAAAAAAAAAATTAGATGCCACACAGGGTAATAAAATGATTGAAAGGCAGGAGTTAAATCTATAAACATAAGTCCAAAACCAAGTTTCCTTTTACAAGTCAGACCATTGTCATTCTAGCCAAATTCACAGCTCCATCCTGTAATGCATGGTAGATATCCTGGACTGAACCTGATAACTTGTCCATACAACACATGTCTTCTAGCACTGAGCTCAGGACCTCCCCAAAGAAACAGATTAAATTTTCTTATCCAGAGTCAGAATGATTGGTCCTTCCAACCCAATACTATCTACTCAATTTGGAAACAGTTCTCCAAGGTCAGAGAAGAGAGATTTTCCCAGACTTTAAATAATGATACCTAAAACTGAATACCCTTCATGGATTACTGTCTTGTCATGGAGAAGGGGCTTGTGTAGCTCAATGAAGCTATGAGCTATGCTGTGCAGGGCCACCCAAGATGGATAGGCAATAGCACAGTGCTCTGACAAAGGCTGATCCACAGGAGAAGTAAATGGCAAACCACTCCAATATCCTTGCCATGAAAACCCCATGGACAGTACCAAAAGGCAAAAAGATATGACGCTGGAAGATGAGCCCCTCAGGTTGGAAGGTATTCAATAAGCAGAGGGCTAGTACTAGTAATGCCAGAAAGAATGAAGCGACTGTGTCAAAGCTGAAAGGACACTCCATTGCGGATGTATCTGGTGGTGAAAGGAGAGTCTGATGCTGTAAAGATCTATATTCCATAGGAACCTGGAATGTAAGATCCATGAATCAAGGCAAGCTGGATGTGGTCAAACAAGAGATGACAAGACTGAACATCAACATCTTCGGAATCAGAGAACTAAAATGGACAGGAATGGGTGAATTTTATTCAGATGACCATCAGGTATACCACTGCAGGCAAGAATCCGTCAGAAGAAATGGAGTAGCATTCATAGTCAATAAAAGAGTAGGAAAAGCAGTACTGGAATACAACTCTCCAAAATAACAGAATGATCTCAGTTTGAATCCAAGGCAAACCATTCAACATCACAGCAATCCAAGTCTATGCCCCAACCACTAATGCTGAAGAGGCGGAGGTTGACCGGTTGTATGAAGGCCTACAACACCTTCTAGAAATAACACCAAAAATTGATGTCCTTATCATCATGGGGGATTGGAATGCTAAAGTAGAAAGTTAAAAGATAATGGGAATAACAGGCAGGTTTGACCTTGGAGTACAAAATGAAGCAGGACACATGCTGGTACAATTTTGTCAAGAGAATATGATGGTCATAGCAAATACTCTTTTCCAACAACCCAAGAGTCCGGACGAGGCGGAGTGGTGGGGGGCCCGGCGGCTTGAAAGCGCCGGCAAGAGGAACAACTGCGCGCCCGGCAGCCAACGCCGCGAACGACCGTGCCCGCGCCGCCGATTCCACCGCCTACCTGTCTGCCCTGCCACGCCCCTGCACGCGTGGGAGGCGGGCCCTGGACGAGGCAGAGCGGCGGGGGGCCCGGCGGCTTGAAAATGCCGGCAAGAGGAGCGCCGACAAGAGGAAAACTGCGCGCCCAGCAGCCGACGCCGTGAATGACCGCGCCCGCGCCGCCAATTCCACCGCCTACCTGTCTGCCCTGCCACGCCCCTGCATACGTGGGAGGCGTGCCCCGGACGAGGCAGAGCGGCGGGGGGCCCGGCGGCTTGGAAGCGCCGGCAAGAGGAGCGCTGGCGAGAGGAACAACTGAGCGCCCGGCAGCCAACGCCGCGAACGACCGCACCCGCGCCGATTCCACCGCCTACCTGTCTGCCATGCCATGCCCCTGCACGCATGGGAGGCATTCCCCGGACGAGGCGGAGCGGCGGGGGGCCCGGCGGCTTGAAAGCGCCGGCAGAGGCCGGGGCTGGCGGCCGAAGAGTGGCGGCCAAAGGGCGGTCGCCGCCGTTTGGGAGCCGTTCGGGGGCCGAGCGGGGGGCTGGGCTGGCCAGGGGGCTTTCACTTTCACTTGGCTGTGTTAGGCCCTCCTGCTGGGCTATGAGTTTTTAATTGTTTTTATAATTTTATTGTGTTTTAAGCTGTTTTAAGGAGTCGTCCCTGGCCACGTTGCCGCTTGTGTTTCCTGGAGAGCGCATGGGCGCCGCCATTGGGGTGGTTATGGGCAATGGACGTAACAGTGGTGGGAGCTTAACATGTCCGCATAGAGGAAGGAGGGACAGATGGCTGACACCTGTCCCTACTTCTGGTTTTGCTCCCAGCCAGAGGGTACCAGGGAGTCTTGTCAGTTGCCCCTCGGGCCTGACGGTGCTGTTGCTTAATGCCAGGTCGGTCAATAACAAATCTTCCCTCATCCATGACTTGATTGTGGATGAGGGGTCTGACCTGGGCTGCATAACGGAGACCTGGGCGGGAGGGTGGGGGATGTGGCCCTCTCCCAACTGTGCCCGCCTGGGTATCTGGTCCAGCACTGCTCACGGCCGGAGGGGAGGGGAGGGGGGTCATTTTGGTTTACCGAGCTTCCATCTCTCTCATGGGACTTCCTGTCCCTTCGAGACCAGGGCTGGAGTGTCTCTACTTGGTGTTGGGTGACCGAGACAGACTGGGGATTCTGTTGGTGTACCGTGCCCCCTTCTGCCCAACAGTCTCCCTATCTGAGCTGACGGAGACCGTCTCGGACCTAGTGTTGAGGACCCCCAGGATGTTGGTCCTGGGGGACTTCAATCTCCATGCCGAGACTGGTCTAACTGGGGCGGCTCAGGACTTCATGGCCTCCATGATGGCCATGGGGCTGTCTCAACATGTCACCGGCCCGACCCATGAACGTGGACACACTCTGGACCTAGTTTTCTCGTCGGGGCAGGAAGAGGGTGGTCTGCGGGTGAGGAATTTATGCTTGACTCTCCTGTCATGGTCAGATCACTTCCTGGTGAGGTTTGTGCTCGAGAGCGACCTCTCCCTCTGTAAGGGTGCGGACCCGATTGTGTGGGTCCGCCCCCGGAGCCGGATGGATCCGGAAGGATTCCTGAAGGCCCTGGGGGAGTTTCTGGCTGACAAGACGGGTGCTCCTGTTGAGGCTCTGGTCGAACTGTGGAACGGGGAGATGACCAGGGCTGTAGACACGATCGCTCCTAAGCGTCCTCTCCCACCGGGCAGAGCCCGCTCTTCCCCTTGGTATACTCCTGAATTGAGGGCGATGAAGCAGGTTGGGAGACGGCTAGAGCGTAGGTGGAGGAAATCACGGGATGAATCTGACCGAACACACCTGAGAGCCCACTATCGGGCCTATGCTGTGGCGGTGATGGCGGTGAAAAAGAGATTTTTTTCCGCTTCCATTGCCTCCTCACAATGCCGTCCGGCAGAGCTCTTTCGAGTGGTGCAAGGCCTGGTTCCTCCAGGTCCGAAAGAAGACCTGATTCCACCCTCAAAGGCCCGCTGTGACGACTTTGCCAGGCATTTCAGGGAGAAAATCGCTCAGATTCGTCACGAGCTGGACACCACTATTGATTCAGAGGTTTTAAGGGAGACGCCAACGCCGCCGTCTGGTCCAGAATTATTGGATGAATTTCAGTTACTGCGGCCTGATGATGTGGACAAGGTGCTTGGACGAGTATGTCCCACCACTTGCCTTTTGGACCCTTGCCCGTCTTGGTTAATAAATAATTCCAAGCACGGGATTGGGATCTGGATCTTAGAAGTGGTTAACGCTTCTCTGAGGGAGGGCTGGGTGCCTGCCCCTTTAAAGGAGGTGGTAGTCCAACCGGTCCTGAAGAAGGCATCACTGGATCCATAGATGGCCACTAATTATAGACCAGAGGCCAACATCCCATTTTTGGGCAAGGTGTTAGAGCGGGTGGTGGCGGGACAACTCCAAGCACCCTTGGATGAAACTGATTATCTGGACCCATTGCAGTCCGGCTTCAGACCAGGTACGGTACTGAATCTGCCTTGGTCGCCCTGTACGATGACCTGTGCAGGGAGAAGGACAGGGGGAGTGCGTCCCTGTTGGTTCTCCTGGACCTCTCAGCGGCTTTCGATACCATCGACCATGGTATCCTTCTGGATAGGCTAGCGGGATTGGGGGTCGGAGGCACTGCTTTGCAGTGGTTCCGCTCCTATCTCAATGGGCGGTCTCAGAAGGTGGTGCTGGGGGACTATGGCTCTGTGCCATGGCAGTTATGCCATGGAGTACCACAGGGGTCCATTTTGTCCCCTTTGCTGTTCAACATCTACATGAAACTGCTGGGAGAGGTCATCAGGAGGTGTGGGCTGCGGAACCATCAGTACGCTGATGATACCCAGCTCTACCTCTAGTTTTCCACCAATCCAGGTGAGGCAGTGGCTGTACTGAACCGGTGCCTGGCCGAGGTAATGGGCTGGATGAGGGCCAATAAACTGAAGCTCAATCCAGACAAGACGGAGGTCCTGTTGGTTGGCGGATCGGGCTTCGGTGAGGGTGAATTGAACCTTGTCCTGAACGGGGCTGCACTCCCTCTTAGGGACAAGGTCCGCAGCCTGGGAGTGCTCCTTGACCCGGAGCTTTCACTGGAAGCTCAGGTGACAGAAGTGGCGAGGAGTGCTTTCCTTCAGCTTCGGCTGATTCATCAGCTGCGCCCCTACCTGGAGTACGACTGCCTCGCCACAGTGACACATGCTCTGGTGACCTCCCATCTTGACTTCTGCAACGCGGTCTACGTGGGGCTACTCTTGAAGACGGTCCGGATACTTCAATTGGTTCAAAATAGAGCTGCCAGGCTGCTGACGGGGACTGGGCATTATGTTCACATGACTCCAGTCCTCCGACAGCTTCACTGGCTTCCCATTGAAGTCCGGGCCCAATTCAAGGTGTTGGTGATGACCT